ATGGAGAGGAGAGGAGAGGAGAGGAGAGGAGAGGAGAGGAGAGGAGAGGAGAGGAGAGGAGAGGAGAGGAGAGGAGAGGAGAGGAGAGGAGAGGAGAGGAGAGGAGAGGTATGTTCACATGTCTCTTTTGTCTTGGGAGCACAGCATTGGACACATTTCAGATGTTTCTTGCCAGTGCTGAGTAGAGGTAAAGACTCTTGAGTTAAAGACTCCTTATTGCACTCTACAATTTCCTCCTCATTGCACTCTACAACTTCCTCCTCATTGCACTCTACAACTTCCTGAAGGGAGGTTGTGGTGCAAAAGGGTCTGGCCTCTTCTCCCAGGCAAATAGTAGGACCTGAGGAAATGGCCAGAAGTTGTACCAGAGGAGGTTTAGGTTGGATATTAGGAGAAACTTTTTCTCTCAAAGGGTGGTCAGGAACTGGAATGGCTGCCCAGGGAGGTGGTGGAGTCGCCGTCCCTGGCAGTGTTCAAGAGGCGCCTGGATGAGGAGCTACGAGAGATGGTTTAGTAGCTTGTGGCACTGATAGGAATGGGAGGCTGGTTGGACTGGATGATCTTGCAGGTCGTTTCCAACCTTGTGATTCTGTGATTCTGTGATTCTGTGAGTAGAGGGAAGGCCCATGAGCTCCCTTAGCCACATGCTGCCATTACAGAAATATCAAATAGTCAGATTTCTTAGTGCTGTCCTCAGTCATTCAAGCCAAGCAGTCAACAACTGTGTGGTGTACAGGCAATCAATAAGTAATTGGCTGATTCAAGTCAGTTGCTCACAAAGGCATTCCTCCTTATGAGGAATGTATGGGTGTGAATACAAACATAAATGTACAGGAAGGATAGAGGAGTGTGAGTTTATGTGTGTGCATAAACGTTCTTGTATATGGGAGAGAAAGAACACAGACTAATCAAATCCTGCAGACTTTGGACAAGCTTTGTCTCTGAAGACTCAGATAAAGAGCACCATATGTTTGATATGAAAGCAAACTTGACTACCAGCACAAGCCATTACTCTTGGCAGGCTCTGAAGCTACTGGGAATTATGAATCTTGATTTGCAGTCAGGGAAAATATTCAACATCACTAAAAACATTTAAATTAGAAACGGATAAACTACAGACTTGGCTCTTGAGTGTAACAAGAGGATCTCCAGACACAAACTAGCTACAAGATATGCTGGGCCATGAACCAACAAACTTAATGTATGTTTCTGGTTCAGCAAAGATAAAAATGAGTTATTTTCACTTATTGAAAAAGATTCTGAATTCTGTTACATGCTTATATTTTGAATGAAGTGTTTTCTTTATGAGTTGCTACAGTAATAATAAGTAACGCTGAGTCTAGGAGTTCTAGTCATGGACCATGCAGTCTTGTGTTAGTCTGTGCAGCTGAACTAAATTACAAGCTCCAGAAAAAAAAAAAAAAAAAAAGAATATATATTAAAAATAACAGCGGGGCAGATCTTTGGAAACTTTGCAAGTAGAATCTTAAGTGATTTCAGGCTTTGCCTGTCCACATCAGTGAATCACTGCTATGATGATCATAGCCAGTGAAAGGACATCTAACCTGGTTCTTCTCATGCATAAAAGAAGAAGGCAGAAAATTAAAGATAAATGAGAAAAGATTCCACTGCCATCAAATTGATAAAATTATCCTACCATGCAGGCTTACCAATCATTTTACTGGGAACTACAGTTATCAGGCAGGTGAGCTACTTTTGTCACCAAGAGACTTTAAGCTGCAGTAGGGACCTGAGCTATGGATCCATCCTACAGCCCTCTTTGGCTTCAGAAACATGTTTTACTCCTTTACAGATTGCTGCATAGACTTTGCTTATTTACTTACTCTAGCTCATTCTGCCTGTGAATTAAACAGCTAGTCTCATGGGAAGATAAATCTTCCACAATGAAAAAACAACTTGATCCTATCTTCTGTTGTTTTGAAATAAGTGACATCTCTTTCTTTGCTCTAATAAAATGTGATTATACAGATCACACTACATAAATAAATTCTGATGGTATAGCTCCTAGCTTTTTCAAATTTATACAGCCATTAAGACTTTTTCATAGACATTAACCTCAATGGACTTCCCTGTTTGAGAACATTCGTTCAGATAAATTAACTCCATTGTTAATAGCAGTAGACCACAGACAACATCTCATTTGTGATCAAGAACCTAAACTCATCTGCAAGGCTGAAAGTGGTCATACCAATTTGGACATGAGGATCTCAGTTTTCTGCTTCTGAAAACCCTCAAGAGAATGCTGAAAGAAGAGCAGAAAACTTTGTTTACATTTTTTCTGCCTCTAGTCTCCAGTAATATCAGAGAATAAAGACATGTATATAGAGCATATTAATTCCAAGAGCTATAGAAAATTCTTAGATTTACCAGACATAGCTGATATGCTTTGCTCAGAATTCAACAGATCACAAGCTTTGGACATACATATCAAATTTAACCCTTTCAGATAATATTCCTCTGCAATTGTGTGCAGTTCATGCCATAAAAATAAGTCTCTTCCTCCTTGATTGTGCTTCAGGACTTATATCTTCCCTTCTGATCACCTTCCTCTATCTGCACCTGACATCATTATATTACTATACACATTAATGATCAATTACGCCTTTTTGGGATAGAAAAAAAAAGTATAAACAAAAGACAGAAGTTACAAAACGACTTCTAAGAGAAACCACAGTGCATCTTGCATCTTCCAATCTAAAACTGATCAGACACCAGATGAGTCTCGGAACAGCACTACTGACATTGTGAATCTCTCAGGCTTATGCTTTTACCTGGGCCTTTGTGCAAAGGTACTGTGAAATGATGAGATTTTGCCTTCAGTAATCTTTTTTCATCAGCTAAAGTCATCACTTTTTAAACAGTCCTTCCCACTAATTTTGTAAGGAAATGATACCCACTTTTCGTTACAGAAATATTAGACATTTTTCTAGCGCACAATGCTCGCAGCAGAAAAAGCTGCT